TTAGTTAGGACACCACTAGCACTCCTACATGCAAAGGAGTAAAAAAACAACCTCGCACTCAGAACGAATCCTCGTAAAACCACTTCAAAAGAGTGAAAAACCACCGTAAAAGGATTTAAAAATACTCTAAAAGGGTGAATATCACTCCAAAAAGAGTAACATCTCCACTGTGCTAAGAAGCCATATAAAGGACAACTGGAGGGAGTGGTTTTTCACTCTTATGAGGTTTTCACTATTTCTGAGTGGATTTGGCTTTTTGAAGGGGGTTCTTTTGCATAGTCAACGTAAAATGTGATAATGCTAATTTTCAAAAAAGTGTTATGACAAAGTCTGAAATGAAGCTTGGAACTTTTCCCTGAGTGTATAAGTTCCGTAAGCTAAGACGTGTGGGTTATTAAAAGTTCCAGTTCAACAACTGTAGTTGGTGTTTGATTTCCAGCTTGTTATGGGAGAGATATCGACGATCTTACTCGTGATCTGTTTTTCTCATTAAAACGGACGTTAAGTTTGTTGTTCTCAATGGCGACGTGATGTTAAATCCTGAAGGAAACCACGATCAATGAAGCAGCGAAGCGCGTAACGCAACATATCCGACGGGAAGTCTGCGGCGGTTCTACCGGCCAGCCCCGCCGGCTCGTCCCGCCGGCTCGTCCCGCCGACACTGTCCCGCCCGGCGTAGCCCACAGCTCGCCCCGTGGTCAAACATCAAATCTCCACCTTTTGTAAGGTCTATACTCTACGGGCCTGATAATTAATAATACCAATGCAGGAAGCTGGCTCCAGCGAGCTTATTAGTTACACATTGACTTATTCGATTGTAATCTGGTCTGGCTTTTTTGTTCTGACGACCGGAAAGGAGGGTTTCTGCTGCTACATACGGTCCAATGAAGGCTTGGCTTTAGTCTCGTTGTAATCAAGCGAACGTAAAACGGAAATTGAGTTTTGTGGCATGATTCCGATCGCTTTTTTCTCCACTGACCGCAGCGGTGTTTCCCGTCATGATATGGCGCAACTTGGAGCCTGTTCAAATAATAGCCATAGCACCACAACAAAGATGGCGTTTGTTGATGTAAAAATCAAATTTATTTTCGAATCTTTTTTCAATAAATAGCGATGGCGTCACCAAAGAGAGGATGCGTTCGGGCATTTCGATGTTTTTTATGGACATTTGGTTTCTGCAAAATGTGTAGGGTGGCGGTAGACCTGTTTTGCTAGCGAAACAGTAACGGACGTTGGACAATCTTGAATGTCGGATTTGTTGTTGGGTTTTGGTGGTCCAGCATATGTGCAAGATAGTGCTGGCCAACCTCGACTCCATGGGCAGCGTGCGCGTGCCTTCAGTAGCGCAAGGCATGGTGGGAACGAACATGGCGCGGCGAGATCGTACCACATGAGAATGAGGTTGAATGCTGGCTGACCTGAATACGAATGAAGCTGGACTCTTTGTTTTTTGGGGGAATTGCAACTTCTGTCATGACTTCTTGTTGAGATGATGGACACTATGGTAAGAAGGTGATGAAAAAGTTTCCATCACAAGGTGGCATGTTTCCCTCATTTCGAAAACTGCCCAATGTGGGAACAAAAGACTACCGCGTTTTGACAGAAGTTGTAACAATTGCGCGTTGAGTTAACAAACCGCAACCAACTTCTGATCAATCATTCTCGTCAGTCAATTTGGCTCGAATTGTTCCGTTCCCATGACAACAGTGTCAATCTTTCTTCCCCAAAAATTGGTGAAGAAAGTGGACAGTCCGGTGGGTAAGCGGTGAAACAAAAAGTGGGGTGAAAAGGGGTCTGACTCACATAATCTCAATTCTACAACCCTTTTGGAGTTTTTAGGAAAAGTCACGGCTGAATAAAACCGAACTTCATTGCCAGTTGAGGTCCTGTCGGGTAACATAATTTCAATTCTTCTTCACTTTACGAACTTCCGGCAAGTTCAGCGGAAGTTCAACTGGGTGTCGTTAAGTCCCCGGGTATCCAATTTGTCACATATTTCAAAGATCAATATGATGCAAGAAGAAAGAACTTGAAACGATAGGATAGTGGGCCAAAATGCTTAACAGTTGAAAACTGAATAAAGGTGTTCGTAATAGGATTTATTATTTCTGGTAATGACACCAAGGATTCCTCAAAAGCACCCCAGGTACTGTAGCTCGCAAGCCTGAAGAAACCTGTAGTGGGGACTCGGGGAGACCATAAAAAGTAGTTAGTTTTAGAGGTGGGAGGAAAACCCAAGAGGAATGTTCTGGGTAAAGCCCTCAGAATCAGGTAGGGACTGAAAACCCAATCCACATGTGGACTAGGCCAGGAATCGAACCCGGGACCACAGAGGTGGAAGGCGAGGAAAGAAGTACTACGCCGACCTCACTCAAAGGTTCAGGGAGTACTCTGTCACCAATTATATAAATTGGTTCATCCTTGGGTAACTCAGGGGTTCTATTAAGGGGATTATTTCCATTTGGGGGGGGGCAGTAGAGGCTCTTGATAATATTTAAATGGTTGTGGATTTTTGGGGGGACAACTGTTATTCATCCGAACAGAGGGCGCTTTAAAAAATTTCAAACATTTTCCTATGTCAGGAAAAGGTCAGCTGACGGCAAGATAGAACCCTCACGAACCCCACCTCAAGGGACTGGATAAGTAACAAAAACGAACGGGACACTTTATTGACTAGTACTGTGTTTGTGTCCGCGTTGGTCTTGCCTCTTCCTAGTTGAGAAGTCATCCAACAACCCGCTAACCTTTATTCACGTACGGTTCTTTACTTCTTTTTCCTGTCGATGATGAACAACAAATTACAGCTACAGAATGACTCAATTTCAGAAATCAAAATGTCAAATCTCTCACTCTTTCTTTTCCCCTCGGGACCTCAGGTACAGGTGTTTTATCCGAAATAAAAATCTGTCCTCCGTGACCCTCTGAGATCAAACCAACCGACGCAAACAAAACAAGAAAAAGAAAACACACTATGGGCCCCAAAATACCAGTTTGGAAGACTCATGCGTTGTCACAATGCGGACCCTTTCAGAGCAGCCCTGCCGAGTTTTTTTTTTTGTGTGTCATTCAGAGTGAACGCTAGTGACACTAACCGGGTCCGACCGCAGTTAAAAGTGTCGACATTGACTCTGATTCTGCGTCAGTTAGCTCTTTGTGGATTTCCTTCGCTCGTTTCTCGCCCAGTTTAACCGAACAAAAATATCCAGCCCCCTTCGGGAAAACAAGACTCGAGTCCCCCTGCGCCCGAGCAAGATCGAGTTTATTTGGCTTGCGGATCAGACCCAATTCTAATCCCTCGCACCACGATTTCACTTCATTCGTCGATTCATTCATCACAATCTTCGTATTATTACCTGCACTACTCGCCCCGGTATTTAGAGATATTCACACCGCTCAGACTCCTTTGGGAATAGAAAGTTGAAGGGGGTTCTGCGCCTTTACCCGAGAAAAAACACAGGAAAAACATCACTCTTAGCTCTGGAAAGTTCCCCCACAAAAACAGGAGCCTCAAAATATGTTGCTGTGAATAGAAAGCCTGTAGCGTACTGTGGAAACCGATACCAGGATCAAAGTTAGCCGGTTCACGGACTACTCTGGGTTGGCGATATTAAAACAAGACTTTTTGTCGGGACAAAAAAAGTAGCTGACTTCATTCTAGTCTAGGGGAGAGTTGAACGGCAAGAGAATGAAGTTATCGCAAGGCCAGGTAATGGAATATAATTATTATGAGTAGGTGTTTGGTAAGGTAGGAGCTTTACAAATTATCTACGAAAACCAATTCGGTTTCTCTTTGATGTTGACAACTCTTCTCAACAGTGCCATGTTTTCCCAAACCCACAGAAATCATGTGTTCCTCCCCCTTCACCGGATACCCACCGAAACATGAACGTCTATTAATACATTTCTTCAAGTCTTCTTAATAACAATGGCCTGGCCTTTTTCGCTAATGTAAAGCAAATATTTTTACACTCATATTAACTTTTAAACGTCACTGTCACAACCAGGCGTCGCTTTAAGGCATGTCCGATAACTCGTTCCAGGTCACGGTTCCGGCCAGTGTTTAAACTGCTGACCAACTAAAGCCACCGCGGTCGGTGTACCCGTGTGTCGTTTCCTTGCGCCCTACATTCTCAATAGCGTAAGACAAATCGTACCAATTAAAAAGCCACAACAGCTTTCACTAAGGCCTACTTTATGAGCGTACAGGCAAATCTTTACAAAACCTGGTTCTCTGAAGGAAAACCGCAAAATTATGACCTTTTACACCTTGCTAATCTCTTAAAGCTTTAAACAAATTTCACTGAGTGGTTGAGGGGCATCGAAAAGACGTTATACTGATGAATGACAAACTGCGGTTGGGTTGACATTTCGGTGACGATTACAGGTAACAAAAGTGAATGCGGAACTCAACAACCAGTGGGGCATTGAGAGCGAAAACCCGCAGATTGTGGTGAAGGGAGACACCGGTCATTTTGCGGCAGCAGTGGTTTTGTCTGACACGAACATGGGTAGAAAAGACTTCTTGAAAAGTGCAATGACTGACGGAATGTACCTAAATTAAGGTCGTCTTATTTTAGCCTTTAACATCCTACTGACCAAGGGCTTTCTCAGACCATTTTAAGGGATTGGGTGCCATCATGAAATCTGCCGATGGGCCGTCAGCGAATTTCACGAGTGTAACCGTCTGATTACCCTACCTGACATTTAACTGAGCCCCCCCCCTTCCTTATCCATCCTTGCTGACAGCACCCATGATTTTGCCGACAGAACCGAATGGGGGAAGGGGTTGTGACGCTCCCACATCGCCCTCTAGCGACGCCTGCGTTGTAATGTGCTCCTGAAAATTAAAAATTTCAACAACAAAGCTGGTTTTTTTTCATTCCAACGCCATGTTTCGTCATTTTTAACGCAGGAGGGGTGTTGTTTTATAAGTGGTTGATTAAACAAAATCCTTTTTGTCCGGTCAAAGGAAAATCCTTAAATCCTTATTTTATTTTCAGACTGCCTTGTAAATGTGATACGGGATGGACAAGTTGAGTTGCAACTGAATTGAGACGATATAAGACAAGCTCAAGATTCAGGCAGAATGATGCGGTGGTGAGTATAATTAAGAGTAAGACTTGGTAGAGTTTGTGTCGAATTCTTTTGTAAACGTAGTATTGGTGTGATTACCAACCCGTAGTTTTCCACTCAGATTACACCGGGTAATGAGTGACGGCGTATAAACTGAGTTTACATTTCATCCACAAGTGCAAAGTTATGGAGCAAGAAAAGAAAAAGCGTAGGAGTTTACAACGAGAAAAAGGGAGAAAAAGCCGAACCTTTTCTTGTGGTGTTGTTTCGAATTAGGTTCTTTCACACGTCGCACTTTTCGTTTAGTAATATAAATACCTTGCCGGCGTTTGTAGGCCCCAAGCAGTGCGGTACATTCAATGCGCATGTGCCCTGCGCTATCAAATGCAAGAAAACAACTCGCTGCTTTTTTCTTCACCTTTTTTCTTTTCACAATCGACTTGAAATGTTGACGTGATTGACATCTCTTTTTATGATCCCCACAGATTTTTTTCTGTCTTTTTTTTCTGAGACGTTGAAAAGTTTGTGAAAGAGTCGGTGTCGGAGTGAAAAAGCCGGGAGGATTGTTGGAAGGGGAGAAAAATGGCAAATTGATTGAAAAGAAATAAAGATAAAGAAAAGAGGGTGAAAAAATGGAAGTCTGTTTGGGTTTTAGGTTCGTCCCTTGCGGGTTGTAAGGTACACGCACAAGTCAAACTCACCCTCAAGGCGGTGGGTTCGGGGACCGTTTTTCAGGGGGCTCTATGGCTCTTGTGTCTGGCGAGTGTAGCCGCCCGTTGACTGCAGGTGGCTAGGCCAAATAACAAAACAAGTCGGTATGAAATAGACCGCCCAAGGGAGCATCCCGTATAGACCCGAGTTAGGGGATCAAGCGGTACCCGGCTCGCTGCTGTAAGGAGAAGAGCAAAGAAACTTGGAGGAGAATAGATCTCTCTGAGCCGCTGCATGCAACGGTAAGGTATCAGGACCTTGTGTGGCCAGTGAAAAAAATGTCCTTGTTTATCGTACTCAACGTGCATTAACACCAACACCTTTTTTTCACCTGGCTTTAGCCTCCTGTGATGCATTCACAGCATGAGGGACAGGCACGCACTACTTGTTAAAATCGGATGTTTCGTGTCTGTCATGCCACTGGCTAGTTACCTGCCGTTGCGCATTTTAGCGAAGAAACAATGAAGTAACGAAGTATCAAAGGTGCTGTCGGGTTTACGATCCAAATCTATTTACTAAGATCTAAAGCCGGCTAATGAGGTAGGTAAGTCCATCCACATTGTTGTTGTACTTTACAGGGAGAACATCATCCCTATAAGACCTCATTTTGTTGGACGACCCACATTATACGATAAGCCAGAAGCACATTTGAGATGGCCACAACACCTGGTAGAAAAACTATATCTACAGTGCCTTCCAAAAAGGAAAAAAATCTCCAAAAGGGGCACCTGAGCTGGAGTTGAACAGGACCGGGTCTCTTGAGGGCCAGGTCCAAGAGGCGAGGGCGAGGGATTTGGATAAGCCCGGCCCGCGGTCATTTTTCCAGAAGTTAATTGGCCACGATTGGTTTCCCTGGAGGAGGCCGGGTCGCTCTAGCGCCCCCGGCTTAGGATTATCCTCACCTTCTTGTAGTGATTCACTTGGGAGTAAAAACTCCCTAACAATGAGGAGGTCTCAAAGATTGCCTGCGTACAATAGCGTATAGTGCTTTTAAAGAAGCGGCATGTACAGCTTCAGGAAAGGCGCCCTCATCGGCGTGAAACACAGAAAAACATGGTTGAGGGATGTTGTACCTCTCTTTACTAGCCTCGATATCGCCAACAATACCCAAAAATATCTTTGCGTCAAGCAGTTATTTTCAGTCAGAGCATACATCCAGCGATCATTAGGAGGGTGCTTGATAACAGGCATGCGCAATTTTGCACAAAACAGACGGTGCACAGAAGGCGTGACCGAGGCTGCCAAGTCAATTACATGTATTTGCTATATTTTCGGCAATACGTCCTCGATACATGGCTGAAGAAACACGTACAAATATAGTGACAGATAGAACGTATACCTCGAAGCGTTGTCTTTAGTCATGATCACACGGAAAATCCGTTCTGTCCAGCGAATCTCCCTATGTTTGATATCAACATCAGTCGCTCATAAAGACGTCTGTTTATACAAACCACATTACAAGACGGCTGTAATCTTCTGTAAACACTGCAAACGATGCCACGGCATCTCTTTAGACTCATCTTATTTGAGGGAGGAAAGTTGAGTAGTGGTTCTGAAGTGACCGACCAACAGGTTGGAGGATGGGTTGGTGTTTGCTCTCAGCAAGACAAGTGGTGATGACGAATACTTCTCGAGTAAACTGTTCTCCACCTGTGGTCTACACCTGGTTGGGCCACACCATTGACGTCAAATTAACTTCAATCGTACACCCTTTTGGATATCTGGCCACCGAACTGAATACAAGTTAATTCACTTAGAATCTCACAGAGTTTTTCCCTTACCGTACCATGTCTAAATGATAACGCCTTGGAAAAAGGCTTTGACACATTCGCTCTGTATTTCACATATATGACTTTTTAAAGGAAACTTCCCACTCTTGAGGTCTTCAACCTGGACACGCCACACGTAGCAAAACACTCTCCAGAATAATGAAGCGTTACATTCAAGCCCTTTTCTATTGAGATCACTTAAGTTTCTCAACCCCCTCGTCAACACTACGCTACATTTCTTCAAATTACTTTTTCACAAAAGCAACACTTATCAAGATTCATTCAGTCACGGCATTTACTTCTTGCAGATCCCTACTTTGAAGTCTTTAACTCGATCGACCGTTTAAAGAAATCTGATCCTAGTTTTCCGCCTCTTAACACCGATCAGGGGCCCCTCATCACCAATCCTTAGCACCCCTCAATTTATCAAATACCCCCCTTTTACTGGAGTAATTGTTTGGGAGCGGGCACTCTGTACATTTGAGGATGTTTGTCTTAAGTATTTGTGATCTTTTGTGAAGCGCTTTTATAGATCACTACCGCGGATCGGCGAAGCTCCCATAGAAGTGACAAGATTAAAAGTCATGCTAAGATCTGTTAAGACGTTTCGGTCACATCATCACTTATTATCAACCTCATCATCACCATCACCATCTTCCTGTTTTTAAACTGTCATCCGACCTATTGTCTTCTTCACGCTGTACATAAGCGACAGTTGAGCTGAAAGTACCGATATCTTGGCAGACCGGGGTACGGTGATTGGATGCATCTTCGCCAGGGACCAGGGTTTTTTTTCTCCTAAAGCTCGTGGAATATTTCCTCGGGCAATCCTATCATGGCCTATTGGATTGTGCCCAGGGATTACACGGTGCTTGGACGGCAGGATAAAAGGTTGCGCCGACATAGTGAGTTTTCTCCAGCAGTCTACCAACTTGGGAATCTCGAGTGGGATTTGGAATCACTCCTGTCAAGAAGGTGATATGAATAGACGAAAAGGGAGCTTCAGTCTGCCCGACAAAGATTGACTCTTGTCTGTAATGTCGATCTTCAAAGGTATTCTACGCTATGTGGACAAGATTCCTTTGAACTGTGCCCGTCACACTGGAACAAGGATATGGCATTCTCAACGACCGTAGAGGGCGGGTCTACAGTGATAATGAAAGAGGGTCCAAATATTTTTGCATCAGTCACACAACCCAGCCACATCCCAATTCCAAATAACCAATCTAAAAGACGCCTCCAGACAAGGAGTAATTGTACATGTAGCGAGTACAAACACAGCCAATAAACAGTACATGCAGAAGGAGTAACCTTTCACGAACAGGACAATCTCGTTTTATTATTACAACATACATTGTAATTTGACACTCTAGATCAAACTTGAAAACATATTCCTTTAAGTAGCAAATGATGAAACAAGTACAGACACTGAATGTATCCAGTCTCACTGCCAGCTAATAACTTTATGCCCTGGACTCTTCAGCAAATTCAACAAATCTAGTGTCCCACAGGCAAAGTCTTCGAGCTTTGATATCAGAAAAGCTGAACTCCAACGGCACATGCAGTGATTCTTAAGAAAATACACTCATTTCTGGTCAGCAGGTGATGGTACGCACACCTAAGGGAATCTGCATGGACAGAGTTGGTGGAGTGGGTATTATGTGGCCGTTTCCCTGGCCTCAGCCGCCCGATCTGCCTCCATTGCCTCTCTGATCACATCCTCTCGCTCCTTGAAGTACGTCTTGAACCACAGGATGTGGTCATGCTTCTGCTGGACGGTCAAGTACGGGTTCTGACCAAGTCCCACACAGACCAGCTCCATGAAGTTCTGGATAGGTTCAATCTGAGGCAGGTCTTCAAGAAGGTGGTCAAAGAAGATGTGTTCATGGAAAGGGACCTCTTGCTCCTCCTCAAGACCTGAGGGGAAGAGATGGTGCAGAGATTATGGTGAGCTGAACTATAGAGGGCGATATAGCCTATTTGCAACAGCCAGATGATAGCATGATTGCTTCCAACTGTCCACGCACTGGTAAAAGTCATGTTCACAAATATTTGAAAATAATAAGAAAGTCTTGGCGATAAAATGACTCAAATGGCACAAACAGACACATTGCAACTAAATGTCCACTTATTTCTAGGACAGAACCCTACTTGCTAAATTCACTTCCCATCCACTCAATTCCAGCAAAGACAACCCACCTTGCTCGTTGTCCACTGGATAGTGCCATATTTTGCCTTCATCCGTCCATTTGATCAATTCATCAAAGCCATGGTTGATTGTGGAATACGTGAGCTGTCTCAACTGTTTGTCTTCCTCCTTGTCCCAAAGAGATGGTACAGTAGGCTCTTTGGGTGATAATTCTTTTAAAAAATCAACCAAAAAAGTACATTCATTTGTTACACAAGCAACTAACTGGCTTAAATGCAGAAGAAGCAGAATGTAACACACATATACTTTGTTACCCACCTACTTTGATTAATCTCCAAATCCATGAGTGGTCTATGCATCCACTGATTCCAATTTTTGTTTGAAGAGAAATAAAAGCCTCAACTACAGCAGGTCATGTATGATGTACTCTAATGGATATGGAATTTATGACTGGAGATTAATCTGAGAACAACATTACAGCTTGTTCAAGGAAGTTGCCAGTGATGATAAAAGCGCTGTGCTGGCCACTGCACAGTGCTTCTACTTTCTCTTAGGGTCTTCTTGAGGTGCTGTCTGTGCACAGCTGAGTCTGCAAGACCTACCATGTGCTTCTGAAGCGTCATCTGCTGCTGGGTCAAATATGTTCAATCTACTTCTGTCAAACAGGGTTTTCCTACAAACAAGAATATAGATCAGTGCACTCTCTAAAACTGAACTTCAATGCTAGATCATTTCAATACTAAAGGGTACCTTTGTCAACTACAACCACTTGCACCTTTGTAACATGGCCAAAACTTGAAATGCAAGACAATCATAATCAAGCATTTTTTGCTGAGCAAAAGCAGAAACAAATCATGGAGACGGTAACAACTCAGTTCCTGTTTCTGACCTTTGCTGTCTTCTAACTGTCTGCTTTTGTTTGTGGCCATGCCCTCTTCGATCTTCATGACCTGTTTCCCCTCCAACTTCAAAACCGCTCCCAAAAGCACCTGCTAGTGCTCGTTCATCAAGAGACCTTGTCTGATCCCGCTCTTTCTGGCCGGCAGTTTGTTTTTCAATCTTGATGCCAGACAGAATGGAACTACATGAGAAAAGAACAAATACATTAGAAGAATAGCAACCATTCTGTTAAGATACAATGTAGCTCTGAGACTCTCCAGTTTAAAAGAACAGCACGGTCCACATCGTAGCCATCAACGCATATCCACAACTCACACACCTGACTGCCTCCAGGTCTCCCTGCTTGCCTGCTGCCGTTGCTTCGTCGTGTTTCCGCAACTGTTTCAGCAAGTCTGACTCCACCACCTCCTTCTCTGGGAAGATCTCAGCAACCACCTTGGCTGTCTCTACCACCATCCTCGTAATATCTTCTGGTCTGTGCATTTTGTGGGGAAGAGGAAGACAACTTCACACATTACACACAAATCCAACACAGGTATAGCATCGGCAAAACACAGGTCTCAATATTAGCACACAAAATTGGTCACAGAATGCAACGTCCCAAGTGAACGTGGGCATTATGAATTGGTGGTGATGAACTCGTAATAAAGTATTGCTTAAGACAAAATCGGTAGCAATAAGGAGGCCTGAAGTTGTTCATACAAATCAATCCAAGCCAACTGTCACCAAGGGAATTAGTGGCTCAAATTCCAACTTTCAATTTACCTCTTGCTACCAAGGTCTGAACCACCCTCACTTTTAGTCTTTTTCGCACTTAGCAGGTCACGGAAGTCAGCTGCTGCTGACCTCAACCTCGGTGAACTCCCAACCTTGGAAGACAAATTCTTCTCAACCTTCAGGCCCGTTAGAGTACTAAGGAGATCCTTGGCAGCTGAGGGTTTATCCTGAGGAGGTGATGAAGTCTTGGCATTGGTTTCATCCTCTTTCCCCTTAGTAGAGTAGCATCTAGTACTAGTAGTGGTAGTAGTAGGAGTTGATGTACTCCGAGGTCCGGAAACTCTGATCCGGAGCATACGCCTTCAGTCAGAAAAATTCGATTTAATAATACTTAACTGTTTGGCCCATTCATCAGATGTATCCAGATAGAGTAGTACTAGTAGTAGCCTACATGTAAGTACTAGGGCCTAGGTATTGGAGTATTGCTCGAGCCCTTTAATTTTAATGAAAAGAAAGTTGAAGTCCGATTAAATAAATCATAATCCTGTAAGAGCTTAAACCAAGGTTTTTCATGTTTCCAGAAACCTTTCAACAGAGCGCCATATGCAAATGTCACATTTAGGCCTATGGTTCTAAACAACAGCGCAATCAACAAATTGAACAATGTGCTTGGCCGGCTCCGTGAGCGAGAAACAGCGAACTGAGTTCAAGGCCGCCCCTAGCTAGGCCTACTTCTTCATGTTTTTGAAACAAACGGATGTTATATTTGACAAGCTTACCATTATTTGGAATTATTTTGAACCATAGTACACTTACTCATTCTGCACACAATACAGATTTGAAACTCTTTGCCAGATTCTTCTCATAGTTAGGCCTTTTGAGGCACAATCAAAATTACTTGGGACAACGCGAGATTAGTCGTCGAACTGGCTTAAGCTTAACGCAAAGCATGACAACCAATGAACAAGGTACTAGACCGACGCATAACAAATTGAACGCAAAGGTTTCGTCCCTTTTCAAGCACCCGACTACATATTAGTCTGTTTCATAATGTTTCTTTCTGTGAAAACTGTTATTTTAAAAACTTCGCTAAATATTCAGGACAATTAAAAAATAAATAACTGATTAAGGAATTTAAATTTTGAAAAGGTTATAATTAACTTTTAATGATCGTTATTCGGGTTTATTAGATCTGCGTATTATATTTATTTATGAAACAAATGTAAATATGGCGATTATCATTGTCAGGAAGTTTGTGCGCGACTCAAGGAGAAATATGCCCACAATATTTGTTCTTTTGCCTGTATTTATTAGTGTTCTCATTTGTAATGCACACAAAGATCCTTCAGCCGTACCTGCTGTGACAGATTCATATTATTCTGTACCAAATCAAAAGGAGAGCGATTATTTTAAGGTCTCAGGAACTATCGCGACGGGAACGCCTCCGGCTATCACGACCGATATGACGGAATCAACAGCTGATGTAGTGACAGCCGTTTTGCCTTTTCTGCTCCCCTTTGGACGATCCTCAATGGCGCGGTTCATCCCGGCGTTGACCAGGGATTGTCGCGAACTCTTAGAAGACTATGCAAACGTCTCCTCCATTTTTGTGCACTGTGCCCTTTTTAACGCCAAACCGTTGCTTTTATGCGAAACCTGTGTGGTCGAGTTTAATGAAGTCGAAAAGAACTTCAGGGAAATTGAAAAGGTGAGCAACTTGTAAAATACTCCATGATTTATGTGGGCAAGAATGTTGCCTCCCAACTCCACTTCAGCGGTTGCCATAGTTGTGTGCAAACTTAGCAAAGTCTGTAGGTAGTCGAGAAAATTTGTGAACTATTTCCTAACGAAGTGGGAAATTTTTCTCAGTCGCAGATTCATGTCTTTTCAGCACTTTAGCAATGACAGACCTTGAGATGATGATGGATATATTCATGATGAAAAAAGCAGCAGCAGAAAGCATCGTTCTTTCTGATTATATGAGTGAATGTAACAAAAATCTGTGCGAGTTTACATTGTGACTTTTTCAATTGTTCTTTACAACTCATAGAAAAGAGTTTTTACCCTGACATGACTTGACACCCTATTTACAAACCCTACAAGATTGATTTAATAATTCTAAGTTTTTTCTAAGTAAGTACTTAAATATTTCCCTGTTAAATCGACACATTTTCACTTTCTAATGGATAATAAACCATTCTTAGGGAAAATTAGTGATGTTCATATATGGAACTCTTACCAGCCAACTGACAAGTTTAGAAATCCCAATGTCATGATCGCTAGGGCTGGGGTTACTGCTTGGAGTAACATTTCTAGTGCACATTCTGTCTTCGTTTTCTTTACTTAGGCAGACACATGCAGTGACAGTTTGCTGAGTTCTGATCGAGTGCAGATCCTGAGAGAAATACACAAATTTTTGAAGAATCTTTGGCAAAAAGCAAATTGTGAGAGTAAGTAGTTCATTTATCATGTTTGATACAACAATGTTCCATGCTGTTATTTAAATATCAGAAAAATCCCAGTATGCAAAAACGGATAATTGTGTTATGTGCATTTAGGTTGCTTCAAAGATGTGAAAGATTGCACTAACAAGACAACAGAGAATTGTCCACTTGCTGAGAAAGTGTCAAAGTTCCGGAAGTACAACAATGAAACCCTGAATTGTTTTGAGGCTGTCGTGGCAGTAAGTATTGAAAAACAAGGAACAAAAATTATTTTTCATATGTCATCCAACCATTGCAGCAATGATTGATGGTACATCCTTCACACCTAGAACTTGTTATGCACTTTATTTCCAGAGTTTACTTTATACTGCATACTGCAAATGTTATGGTAGTCTCAATTGTTGGTTAGGAAAATGTTTTGCCACAGCAATATTGTGAAACTGTGTAATACACTTTTATGATCTTTTCAAAGTTAAATGTGGCTAATGTGTTCACATGTTCATTTCGGTTGTCTTGTCCCAAAACAGCAAAATGGGGATGTGTGCACTAACTGCTCTGCCATCTACCAGAGGCTGAGCAAGGCTTACCAGTCCTTGGGAGAGGTGGAGGAGATTTGCTTTGACTGTGTAGAACTGGTAAGAAGTGGAGGGGTGGAGCAAAGAGCAGTCTTTTGTAGGAGGGGTGTATCTATGCTCATGGTTGGCTGGAGTCTGGAGAAAACTTTCTAAATTTTGTGATTTATTCTTTGGGAAATTCATTTTCAGGAAATGACATGGAAATATCAATACATGCACTTGCTGGGTTTAAATTTCCCGGCTTAAGTGTATAAATACGCTTGGCACACAACATTGTTCAGCAGATTCTTTTGCTAACCACATACCAACAGAGTACCAGTCAATAGTGGTATACATCACATAGTATTTTGGTTGGTAACCTGTACCTGTTGTTGAGCGTATCTCTTCTCAGCTCGTTTCCTTCTGTATACATTTCTATGTAAGTCCAATGTAATCGGTCAGCATCTTTTCATCACTGTCATTCATAGATGAACAGTACAAGGAAAGAGTGGAGTGTTGCCTATAATTGCACCTGTACCAGGAAGGATGTTGTCTCCATTGTTGCCATCAGCATCTTCTTCTGTTCCTTCCCAATTTTCTTCTACTTGGGCTCCAAGATGCACTCTGTGAAGGTGGAGCACAAGCTGATGAAACGTAAGCAGTCACCCCCCCAATTGGGATAATCCAACCACTGACAACTGGTTACATCTCAAATTTCATTGCTGTTCCTCTCTTAATCAGGATATGGGTTGTTTTATAAATTCAGGGTCCAAAAGGGTGACATTTTTGTGTCCCTGTTACACCTGACCTGTGTAATTTTTAATTAATTCTTTTAACATACTTACCATGTAGGATACTTCTGTCCCATTGAGATAGTCTGCTATCCCCACTAAGGATATACATAAACTCTTGTGTTATTAAGTTATCCGGGCATTTTTGCAATCTTTTTTTTTTTGGGGGGGGAGGAATTTTGCATACAGGAGTGTATACCCTAGTATGTATTTATTTTTTTCTCCCACCTACAGAAAATCGACTGAGGAAAACCCATCGACCCTCTCAACCAAAATTGATCACACTGCCAGAGCATGGAGAGGCTTTTCTGACTGAGGAAAGCTCATCTAACACGATATGACACAACCCAAACCATGAATGCGGATTGGTCAGCTGTATTGGACCAACCTCATGTGACAAGACAAATGTGTACCGCTTTAATTTTGCAAGATTTGTTTGGTAAATACACAGGATGAGAGCCACCTTGGATAGTCAGTGTTTCTGTGACCTACAACTATGTTATCAGTAATCTTAGGCACATCCATTGAGACATTTCTTGTTCCATGTTTAATCCTGATGTCTTCACTGGAAATATTTCTGCCAGCATTTCCAGCTTCTATAACCAAGAGCTTAAAGCCATATTTATTCCATGTTGTGGGGTTGGCCTTTAAATTTAGATGTTTTTAGGTGGGAATTCAATTTTGACAACAAAAGTGATGAATTTTTACACCTTCAATGATCCCACACAAGCCATCTTCCAAGAGCAGCTCACCGATTGTACTGTGTTATCATGAAGTTGACATGGAGTTTATTTACCCATTTGTCAGTTACTCAGTTTGAATGTTGATGGCAAGCTTCAAGTTCCATGAAAAAACCAAAGAAATTGCCTCGGTTTGCTCTAGAGGAGTGTAATTTACAAACTTTTTTGTATTTGGAATCTATTTGCATATATTTTGGTAATAGATACTTGCGTATTTATTGCTAGGACAGCATTTAACTATTCTGAAATAGCAGTCTACAATATCTGGCATATTTTAAGAATTTCTCTTTTTTTTTATTTCACTCTATCATGTATATTTGTAAACTTTACATTTATGTACATGCTAATAAAATAAATGGTGATTAATTTTGTCAAAACAGAATCAGACTGACAAAGATTCAGTTTGTAAGTTTCACAAGAGTTATGTAGTACAACTACTCATGCTAAATTCAGAAATATTCGCAGATAAAAACTTTTGGATTTGAAGCCTTGAAATGTCTAAATTCTGAACTTTTCACTGTGAAGAGGTGTCTATTTCGCACACACTTTGCTTCTAGACTTTGACCGATACTTTTTACAGACTCGCAACTTTAATACTCTGATTTGAAGTGTGAACCAACAGTTTTGGGATTTGTTTGACCCTGTACAGAGGGACATTTTTTTAACCAGGGTACTTGGTAAAGGTGTTTTTTGAATGAAAGATTTAGGTGGTTGTAGTTACAGTCTTCAAGCTGCCCAGAACAGAACACGGAAACTGCATTAGTCATTTTCTTCTTTCATGAAGTGGCTTCCAAGTTAAAGCGTAAACGTACATTGACTTTAAATACAAGATATTTGGTTGTACATATTCGCTCTCCACTACGTTTATGCCTAAGTTTGTATACAAGAAGTGCAGCTGGACTCACAACACTGATAATGATCCGGTGAATTCCAAAAATCTTTGCATTTCGTTGAACAAATTTTTACATTCCTTCTGTACAGTTTCCTTTGAATTTTCAATTGATACAATGCAGCTTGGAATTCTACGGACAGTGAATAACACAAACTTTCAAAAAGAGGTATACAAGGGCTTCTGCTGCTGGCCGATACAATTTCAAATATTTAAACTAAGATGAAAGTTATGTTCCCAATGCCAAAACACGTCACTGGGGCGATGCAGTTTTATTTTTTTCTAAAAGCACCCAAGGCAAACAATGAAGTGATTGTCAACGCTGAGACGGTTTATGACTGGTACACAGCTTGTATAGAAGGGTGTTTTTTTCCTCTTTTCAGTCTAGAGTATTACCATATTTGGACAGCCTATTACATTATAATCTGGTGCAATCTGACAAATCACAAGGCTTGTTCTAGCAGCTTGCAACGGATTGCATAGGTGTTTCCATGTTTCAAAAACACTAACAGAAAATTTTAATTGCAAAAATTTGATTGGCTGTGATAAAAAAAAAACCTGAGAATGAGATATAAACTAAAAGATCTAAAACACGTTTGTACCGATGGGATTTAAAAATCGTCGTAGCCAACTTGAGATATTCAAAATTGAATTTTGATAAAAATTGCTCTATCAGTATAGGAAAGGTCACTATGCCCATATATGGTAATACCCTAGACTGCTTATAGCAGAAATAACCTTCAAGTCTCTACACAAACGCCCTTTGTTTTATCTTCATACACACAAACCACATTCTACAAAAACTAATCATCACTAGTAAGTTTATACAACACTTAAAAGAAATTAAACATTACACTGTGCTTGCATAGAAAGTAGAACATACATGTACACAAAGACCGAAACCACTTCAAATGTACAACTTGCTTGGTCATTCTCAACCGCATTTAGGTTTGCTTTAGACAGGCGAGCAACTTTTCCTTGGATCAGCTGATTTCCTTGCTTTTCACTTCACACTGATGCCACTGAAAATTGAAAAACACTCTACAAAGTCGTGTAAAGATTGGAATTTCCTCTTTTTGTCAAAGTCCAAGTTGCATGTCTGTTGAGAGAAGCTTGTACTTTTCTACGATGATGGCAGGAACGTTGCACTGCAACATCTGGTTGGTTGTGGGTAAAGAAGTACAACTGTCCACACTGAAGTTTGAAATGAGTAAGTACCTGAACATGTTTCTAACTCAACCATTCTTCTTTTGGTTTCTTTTTTCTTCAGGGGATCTGTTATCAGAGCAGCCAATGAAGCTAGTCCTTCCAAGTCACATGCTTCACAACCGCCAATCACAGTCAGTGAGGTCTGTTTTCCCAGGTCATGTTTAGTAACCACTAATTGGGACAGCCAATGGGGTAAATTTTTCGAAGTCACATGCTTGATGACTGTCAAACTAGCCAGTAAACCTTGGAGTTTCTAAATCCCATTCAGGGCAACAAGTTATCTGGACAACCATTGCCTAAGTGTCCACTATTGATCACCCTGTGAGTTGCACTGTCCAGACATTGTTGGGTTTATTCTTTCAGCTATTCATTACAAAACAAATCTTGACCAATACACATATTCACACTTTCCTTCTACACAGGACTCGTGCTCTGCTTACACAACCAAGAGCTTGCTTGAATACCTCTTTTGTACACTCATGACCTTTGACCTTGGCTTCTCGGTCATCTCAAGCATCTTCAGAGTGTTTGCTCTTTTTAATTCTTGCTTCTAATCTGTAAAGGAAATAAAACACCACATACAAAACTGTTTAATAGCTCCATGGCTCCATTAAACCAAGCAAAGTTCAATGGCTAATTGACTGAAGAGAATGACACGGACACCCATCATGATCCAGACAGTCCTCATTTTGAAACATTTAAAAGGATGAATACTCTGAACTACTCAACAACCATCTCGACATATCTACTAAGAGGGATAAACACCAAACGCTCACCTGTGTCTGCTTTTATTTTTCCTCTTCTTGTGACCATGTGACTTGCCATGTGACTTGCCGGTGTGATTGGACCCGCTGGCACCATGCTTGTCCGTTTCTCCGTCAGTGGGACCGCCCTTCACCTCGGGCTCCGACTTGGACGAAGACGCTGATGCCTCGTGACTGCTCTGATTCTCGTGGACTTCCCCTGGCGAAGGGAACAAAAGACTCAACTTTGATATTACAGCCTCAGAGATTCTCTGACCCTGAGACAATCAGCAAACCATCTCTGTCTCTGACCTACAAGCCCCATGCAATCGATGATGCATACAATGAACACAAGCAAAAGCATTCCAAACTACCATAAAGCTTGTAAAGTAGCATCACTTCTGGCTTTACATTAAAAAAACCTGAGAACAAGGCAGATAAAAGGATACACATCCCATAAAACAACCAACAGTACAAACTCAAAATAAATTAGAACAAGGTCATTCAAATCAAAAGCACTAATAACTCAATCTGAAAATCCTGAAATGGAAGTTGATACTGGAAAATGATAAATATGCACACAAAATGTTCAACATGGCTGAAAAAGAAAGCATTTAACTGAAGGAAAAAGACAAACAGGAAAGAAGAGTTGGAAGATGTCCAACAAAGACATTTCAAACAAAATAGGTATTTGTTTCTTACAGAAATAAAACAGTGCCAAAATTCACAACATTTCCATAAATGATGCCAACTTTGTACAACTACAACAGAAAAGAGGATGAGAAAAACTGGTGCTGAACAATACAGGACTGTCAACAACTATCAAGACAATCAAGCCCAAATGACATCCTCCGAAGGCAAGAAAACTCAACACTGTAAACACTCAAAAGCCACACCATTCACATATGCATGGGATATCACCACGGTCATCAATCCATGTACTGTATATGAATGCAACCCCCCTGGGACGGACAATGCCTTCTGGCGTCAAGCAACATGCATCTCCAGATTCTTGATACAGACCAAGTAGAGGGGACAATTTAACAGAGATTTGGAGCTTCTCACCATCGGTTGGGGTAGAAAGGGAGGATGCAGATTGGGAAGACAACGATGGTTGAGAAGATGATGGTTCTAGACGAGGAAAGATTTAGGTTGAAGAAGATCAGAGCTAGAGATGGGTTGTTTACACTCTGTTATACACTTCTGGTGCCTAATAAACACAAAGCTCTATGATCCCCCCTCAAAAAAACAGGTGTACCTAACCTAAAAGTTTTGGGATTTCACAATGCTAACTCTCAAGGTAGTGGGACGAAACAGCTTAGTATTTTAACACAGGTACCTGTAGTCCAATATTAAACAGCATGTTTGTAATACAGTTCAGTCAGAAGAAAGAGATTTGGCCAGGGATCAAAATTTGATTCTTGGAGGGGGGGGTTTGAATGTCACCATTAGTAGAGTCTAAAATGCTGATGCTCTTTGACTGACCTCCACGACGCCTGATGAGGAAAGCCTGCTTGTGCATTCGTACCAAATCATAGTGAGAATGTGATTTTCTTTTAGCTGAAATTTCTGTGAAAGTACTGAGCAGACTGCGCTGCAGTGAAAGATGGTATGGACAACGGTGAATTTCATGTGGCAAGTTACTTACTTTTATCTTGTTGCTGTGAGTCCGTCAAGCCAAGACAGCCCTATGTAGGCAAACAATTTGGTAAACATTAAGAAATCAGATGAAACACTTGATTTGTCTAAACTCTATCAAAGCAAGGGTTTTGCTCAAACAATAACAGTCAAGAATTTCATTCTAACAGGGTGAGAGTTTTTTCAAAATTCCTAAGAGTCAGGCTTCACAAAGTGAAATTCGGACAATTCAAAAACCCTTTTCAGTAGATGCATTTGGAATAAACAGCCGTTAAAACAAGACTAGATGTAATTGTGTTTCATGGATAGAAATATTGAGAGAGATAAGGGGCTTGAGAAATCTTGTCCTTACATGTGACGTGATGGATGATTTGGAGAACAGTCTGTCCGCTTCCTTAAACTTCCGATTCCGTTTGTCGGTCTTGCTGTTTGTGTTTCTGAAAAAGAAGTAAATTGGCAGAAAATATATCAGAAACTGTTAATCAGTTATAATTGTTATTTACTTTCTAGTCTAGTGACCCACAAGATTCCTCAGAATTGCCCTCAGCACTGTAGCTGGCAAGCCTGAAGAAACCTGTAGAGAGGTGATAATGAGAAGCAGTTAAGTTTAAGAGGTGGGAGGAAAACCCCAGAGAAATATTCTAGGAAAAACCCATGGAATCAGGTAAGGACTGAAAACCCAATCCACATGTGAAGTTTCTCCAGTGAAGCATATAAGGCATTAATCCCATTCCATCCAAATCTTTGAAAACCCATGAGGTTCAAAGATGTTTACAGAATTGAGGAAGGTAGGGCCCAGCCACTGTTACCTTAGTTGAAGTGCAAGAATGTGTTAATAGTTTCCAGCACAGGAGAGGATTCAGAGAATCCAAAATGTCAAGGTGGTTTGGGTTGATGAGACGACTCTTAAATTTTCAGAACTCACTTATTGGTGAGGTAGCGGTCCCATCCTCTAATGATGTTACCGTAGAGGGCAGTATCTTCCAAGTAACTCCCTTCAAATGCATAGATTTGTCTCTCAAGGTTTGCAAGGGTCTCCTGTAGAACAACATGAACAGTTCATTTATTCATTCATTCTTTATTTTCCACATAACTGTGAGTATGTGCATCATCAATAAGGATTTCAGGTAGTTCATGATGTTACTTTTTACTAAACAGCATATGGTTAGTCTTCTTAATATTAAGAGACAAACTATTTGCTTTAAGCCAGCTTAAAACGTTAATAAGCTCGAGATTAAACATTGTGATAAAGAGTATTGATATTAGGGTGGCTACAGAATAGGTTACTGTCATCTGCAAATAAAATAAAAATAAATAAGTCTGAAGATTTAACAAAGTCATTTATATTGAAAATAAAAACTGTACTGACAGAGGACTAAGTACCATTAACAGATACAAATTGCTGATTATTTGAAAGGTAACTCCTGAACTACTCTATGACTCCAAGGCGGTTCCTCTAATGCCATAATAAGCAAGTTTGTTTAGAAGTGTATTATGACTGACGATATCAAAGGCCTTGGAGAGGTCCAGGAATAAACCAATTGTAACAGAGGCTGCATCTAAATTATTAGTTATTTCATCAATTAGGAGAATAATGGCATGTGAAGTCGTGTGGTTTTCATGGAATCCAAATTGAGAGTCAGAAATTATGTTGTGATCAAATAGAAAGTCCATTCTACAATTGTGAATTACTCGTTCAAGAATTTTGAAAAAGTAGTAAGAATCGAAATAGGCCTGTAATTATTAACTTGATTAACATTAGGAGTGCCCCTTGCAAGTTTCATATCATATTTCGGTACTACTATTCATAACGAAGGTTAACGGTTTAGAGATTGCCCCGATCACTTCCTTAAATTAACCAGTGAGTTACTAATTTAATCAAAGCCAGAGCTCTTTTTTTATTTGGCAAAGTGTGTACAATATCAACTATTTCTTCCTCAATAACAGGACTTAAGCAAATAGAATTAGGGTTAGGGTTCAGTAAATAATCAGTAAATTGAAATTTTTAGGAGGAATTTGATTACAAAGGTTTTTACCAATATTTGGTAATGTGTTTACTACTTGAAAAAGCTACTGAGATTAACCTTAGCCCTCAATGGTTTGTGAAGAATGCCTAAATACCGACATTAATAGCTCCATGCGGCAACCAAATCCTGCTTTATTATTCCCGAGACTTGAAACTTCATTGATGATCAATGATTCCCATTCGAATTGCGTGGGGATTACCCAAAACTGACCAACAGAGGGCGGTATACATTTATCAAGAAAATAATATTAAGGACGTCACACACTGACTTACTTATAGCCAGTATTGCAATGATTTTGCTAGAAGATACAAACAGAGAACTAAAGTTAAATTTTGGAGCCGTTTTACGGCTTACACGGTTCGTCATCGTCACAATCGCTCCACCACGTACTGTGACCGCACACGCTGACGGCGCCAATGAATTACCCGCCACTAGTTCTTTTCCTGAACATGATTTTTTTCAAGCAGTAACCAAAGTAATTCCCCGAAAAACACATTCTACACAAAAATTGCACACCATCATATTGATACATATCACTTCCTACCGCTATTTCGGCTCGCCTCTTCACCAATTCGGCCAATTCTGCCCGAGTATCTGTGCTTTGGATCGGCAGCGATTTGGACGACATTTTGCCCTGGCTCCCGAGGGATGATACGTTCGCTCTCTTGCAACAGAATCATGGATTGGGCAAACGAGGAATGTCATGGGTGGAGCTTGCTGTTCGAACCAATCACAATCGTTGATACTTTATCAAACGTGCACTTGATTGATAGCCTATTGCAATATGGCTGCGCCCTTTGCAAAACATTTGGCACGTGCGCCAATATTTTTAAGGTAATAAATAGGTACAGTTTGACTTGTTTATGGAGAATTTCTGTCACAGTGGACGCTAACATAACAGGAACACCGAGAAGTCATCCTGAAGAATTTATCTGTTGTTGTTACTTACATGTAGTTAGTTTTATGTCATGCCAAGTCGGTGCGTCATGCATATCTGCCATGATCTGGTCAAGTGCACGTGCGTGGACATGGTTGGTGGATGCATGCGTCGTTTTCCAGAAATGAAGCCTTTCAGGAATGACCATCACTTTTTACCAGAGCAGAGACAAAATTTTTTTTGTGCAGAAATTGCTGTGCTCAGTGAAAAGTGAAAACTAAAGAAGATTGCTTGAACTTTGAAGTTTATACTGACATGCACCTGTAATCTGTATGTGGAAAATGCTGCTTATATAGCCTAGAGAACAGTTCCTTTACAAATGAGTTGTAAAATGAAAGTTATATGGTAAATAATGACAGGTTTTTGTTCCTGTGTGATATCAGTGTGAGACACTGTAGCACTTCGTTGTCATTTAAATCTAAATAACAACATATATTCTCTGTGAGGGCACTCCATGCAGGACCTTTAATGATGCAAGTACAGTTTTTAACATCCATTCGAAGAATTTTTTTACAGAATGATGGAGTAATTACAGAATACCCTGCCACTCTAAAAACGACCCCTGAAATGACTGGTCACGTGGGTACAAAGTGAAAATCCCTTGAGAAGAATGTGACACTTTGACCTGTACCTGGCTATGATGTTGATCGTGTCGGGTGGTGGGGTATTCTGCTGTTTAGCCGGAATGATTATGATACATTAATTTCAGTTATTTTGCGATCAATTTAGAATTATTCATAGGCAGTGCAGCACACAAGTCAAAGCAACACGGCGACAGACAAAGAAGCTGAAGGCACAAACAGCCCCACCTCCCCAATTGTCAGAACCACTGCCCCAAGAGTTTACGCCCACCTTCACAATCACAGAGGAGACGATTCACCAAACAGACTCAGCAAACTACGCCCAGACTTACCTCAAGAACAAACTGCGAAAGGCCGTCACTCCTCTGTGGAAGCTCCCTTACAAGAAACAGCTTGAGCTCAAGCAACTCAGGAATTCCAAGGTACTGATGAAACTGACAAATTCTCTCATTGAGCAAGAAGCTGAGATTGGATTGACAGAAACACTGGACAGGACTCACAGATTTGGAGGACTGTGTTGTCAACTCGACACAATAAAGCCTTCGGTATGACAGCTAAGTTCTTTTTACAAAGTTGATTTGTTAATCAGCATAAAAATCTTCAGGTTGACCAAACTCTAATTTTAAAAAATTTGTTTAGATTTGTGTGATGATTTCTTTTGCTTACTGGTCTTGTTTTGTTTGTGAGGCAGTTTGAAGTTATTGTATCTTAGTTGATGACATAAGTTTCCTGTTTGTTTTTGGAGTGTGGGTGGTGGTATACAGTTTCTTACTAATAATTGAAATTCAAAGGATTTAGTGTGTACAATTTGTTTTCTTGTCAGCCGGTGACAGAAGGATACAGGAATAAATCGGAACTCAGCGTTGGTGTTGGTGCTGATGGAAACAGGAAAACAGTCGGTCTCTTCATTGGAGAGTGGAAAAGTAGGAACATAATTGGGGGGGTGTAATTGACCCAGAAAATACAACCTTAATGGGAGTCTAACCTCAAATGCTGAAATGATAGTCTACTAACTGCTCTATCCATTCCTGATTTGCTAGTTCACACCCCCTTCCACTTGCCAAAAATTGGGTTCCTGTCAAAATTTATCAGTCAGTTTAATAAGACTATGTTACCTGTATCATTCTTGGTTTTCCATTTCTGCACGTCATTTGTTCTTATCGTTTTGGTATGGCATGATCTCTTCTTTATTAGGAAGGAATGGCAACATCACCTATAGAAGACCCATTGGTAGCATTTCTGTTTAAAATTGGCTGCAGTCTTGTAATGTTAAAATATAAGTTTCCTTACTGTTTTGTTTTAGAGAAAAATATAATATGTCTACCCTCCGATCCAGCCAGAAATATCAGCCAAGCACACAAAAATGTAGAAAAGGTATGTTGTCAAATTATTCAAAAATAATGTTTGAACGATCATTCCTGTACTTCTAGCTTGGTTGTCACTGTAGGAAATGTTCTCTCTTGAATTTTTTTCCAAAATAAAATTATTTCCCCATCGTTTCTGTGCAAGTGCTTGACTTTGGGAAGTGAAGAAAGGTAACCCTTTCATGTGCTGTGTAATTTCAAATCATATCTCAAACCCAAACCTCCAGGCCTATCAGACTTTTCTCCTGCAATCCTCCTTGGACGTGTCACTCAGCTTCAAGGACAATGGCAACTGGCGTGGCCTGGTGGTCCGTTCCAACCAAGAAGGCGATCTGATGGCCATCGTCAGTTTTACGCAGAGTGACCTTAGTGAGACGGAGACCGAGGATGCCATGCTGTCACTCCAGGACTTCTTCGCTTACGGAGAGGGCAAAGACTGCGGGCTCAGCTCTCTCTACTTCCAGTCTAGGTCAGTGGTCATCCATGAATATGAAAATCAAAACCTCAATAAGTCTATTACCCAATCTGTAAAATCAAAGGACTAGTCAAATTTGCACACTGTGCTCTGTATGAGAACATCCACTAAAAAACTGGGATGACTCGTCCTTCAAAGTACACATGTGAAACTGTGCCAAACTTTTAATCTCCAGTCAAGTAATTGATAACCAATCAGATGACTCTTCACATAATTACTGTGTGGCATTGCTGGTGTAACTCTGATATTAACCATAAATTCAGTACGTGTTCATCTACCATTCAAAGCGTGTTATGCATCTGTATTTTAATTTTTAGCTTTCGGACAAGAGCTACCAATGAGGATGCCCCTTTCCACCTCCTCTTGGGCAAGCCACACCTCCATGAGACCCTCTTTGACCTTCAGTTTCGTATCTCCCCGGATGCCTTCTTCCAAGTCAACACTCCAGCCACCGAGGTGCTGTATTCCACTGTCATGGAGCTGTGCGACTTGGGGCAAGACACAACGGTCCTGGACCTGTGCTGCGGGACTGGGACCATTGGACTAGTCATGGCAGACCGGGTGAAGGAAGTGGTGGGGGTGGAGGTCATACAGCAGGCGGTAGAGGATGCCAGAGTCAATGCTGAGCTCAATGGTAGGTGTTGATTAAATTTCAGTTGAACCATGCCGAGACTTGTACATAAAGCTAGGTGTTTGCTGGTCAAAAAATATGTATATATTGACAATGGACAGCGCTGTTGCTCTGAAAGTCAGTTTCAAACGTGTTTTTATGGCGACTGACGAATATCAACTGTTGAATTTGGGTTTGAAGAGAATTAATATAACTTTCTCTGTCCAGCTCCAGTTCTGCATTGATATCATTTAGTTTTGACATAGAGTTAGAAAAGCAGTGCGACTTGTATTCGTTTGTAACTATTTAGAGAAACCCCACAATCAAGTCAACATAATCAGACTTACTTATATCCAAGATCACGTCAAAAAGAAAGCAAGTGTATTTGCTCGAACTGAATGTAAAGTAAGATTTGTCATGTTGCAGCCATCTCCAATGCTACATTTGTGTGCGGCCCAGTGGAAGAGATCCTACCTGACATCCTGCCGACACTAGAGGGCTCCGGTGACCTCGTGGTGGTGGCCAACCCTGCAAGAGCTGGGCTACGTAAGCAGCCATATTACAATTTGTCTTTGCGCAACGTATTACAAGTCGCCATGCTGTAAAGTTCAAAATAGAGCAGTGTTACTGTTTCACTTGTTTCTTCCGTGTAGATCCCAGAGTTATACGTATCATCAGGAGCAGTCAGTCCATCAGGCGGCTGGTATATATATCTTGCAAACCAGATGGAACTGCAGCTAGGAATTTCACAGAGTGAGTGACAGAACCATGACCCAGTTTTTGGGAGATTGATGAGTTCTGAGGAGGCAAGGTTATGGTCAACAAAAGCCAATGCCTTCAAGTCTTTTCACTTTGTTCAGTTGTGTAGTAGAAAGGGGAGTTGAATGGATCATCCATGCCCAGTACCCATGCTCAAGTACGTGATGATGAATGATTGATCCCCTAGGTGTGTGTAAATTTGTCTTTAAACGAAATGACAAAGAAAGGTAAAGAAATGAGCCAAGAACCACGCCTGACTCCTTTTTACTTGGCAGCTGAAGTCAAAAATCTCCCAACGTTCTCTGTTCTTAGTTTGTGATTCCCACTTTGACGAGTCTTACTCCAGGCCGTTAATGGCGTGATGTGCTGTATTATATAACCACAACTTTGTCCGTCCATTTCTCTTCTTCTTGCAGTCTTTGTTGTCCCCCAACCACCAGACTCCACGGCAAGCCCTTCACCCTCACCAGGGCTGTCCCTGTAGACCTCTTTCCCGACACCTATCACTGTGAACTCGCCCTTCTATTTGAGAGGTGATATCAAGGTAAACCTTGGCAGTTTAAGACCCCCCTCCCAAATAACTTGTATCTTACAGGTGCAAGACCTCATCAGGTAGTAATATACTCACAGTTCTTAAGTTTGATGCTACAATCAAAGGTGTGAATCTTCAAGAGGCATTTGATTTCCACTTGAACAAAATTGTTATGAATGAGGGTATACAGCCTTCTCATACAAATGTTTCTAAAGTGGAAAAAAATTCTGTAGAGCAGCTACTACGAATGGCCACAAGTGGAGTTTTGTTTGACGGTGTGTCAGTACAAGTAGATTAAACCTCAGATTTCATTTTAAGAGGAACTCAAATCTTCAAAAGTGCGCAGGTTTTCAAAGCATTTTCAATTTATTGGTATCTTTATATAAGTTAAGTTACTACACCCACTTCAATATATTACATAATTTAACTTAATGTTAGATATTTACATCTGGTGCCAAACCTGTTCCCACAAACCCTTTGTACAGTGCAGTAAAAGGCCTGACTTTGCCTTTCTTGTTGTAGCATATCGTCGTAGCTCCAGTTTAGTTCTTTCGACAACAATTTGAAACGGTACCTCTGGAGAAATGTGGTACTTGGAAAGAAACTATTCACAAATGATTGTTTTTGTAAGTGACTTCAATCATGTCATAACACTGCATTAGTCATTGTCATGACAAGGTTTACATTCATCAAGAGTTGCAAAAATTCTAAGGATAACGCTGATCTCAAATGTCTTTTATATGATCCTTGGATAGGATCCTGTTTAAAAATAAACCGTTAGTTTAAATAAACCTTTTTAATAGTTTAAATTTTGCCAAAATATCCAATTACAAATGTTTAAATAACAAAGAAATAACATCCGACCCACAAAAATTCCAGTACTGAGCAAATAGTTTGTACTTAAAAGTTTAAACTATAGGTTAAAGATTATACTGTGTTCACAGAATTGTCTATTTGTTAAAACGGAGGTGTTCTTGGTAGTTTAAACTTGTCCAAGTCCTCTCCTCTTTTTTAATGTAAGAATCAAAACAGCACACATTCATACAGGGCAAATGCCCCTTCTATAAAAGATGAAACTAAACACTCGATTAATGATTTCAAATTCTGCACAAGCCAAGAAGGGGTGGGAATGTATATTTAAAAGTCCACCCACACCATGACTCAGTTACTGTGATGGGATAGCAACAAGACAGAGAAGATAACTACATGTAGTTGGGAAAGTGCATTCAACTCTGAGTGTCAAAGATAACCCTCTGATGGGCAGTCTGCCCAGTTATAGCATCGACCTTGGAATCACTGATGCTGAACAAGTGTGGAGTAGTGTGTAGTCATTCAGGGCTTGTTGGTCTGAAGCTCTTAGTGGAAGCCCTTGCTCCTATTATTGCTTGTCGGAGATCTCAGCAGAGAGCAGCTTGTGAGGAGTGTGTTATACGTGACTCTCAACAGTAGCCCTTTGTGTGAACTAGGGTTAAATTTGTATTGCTTTGGCAAGAACTCCAAAGGTGGCCTCTGCATTTGTGCTTGGATCAAGTCTTAGCTGCTCTGAAACATGTCACTGAGCAGGCGCTCGATGGGGATGTTGCCAATGGTCTCCTTGAAGAACAGCCGCTCAATGAGCTTGCTGCTGACCCTCCGAAGGGTGGGGAGGATGAGAAGGAGGCGGCCAAAGCGCACGCTTCGGCCGGGGTAGGCATGGCGTATGTAGTCACTCAGCATCACTTGAGCTTGGTCCTGAAGGGCCTCCACCTGCTGAGGCTCTCGGACACCATGAGTGTCTGCTCAAGACAAAATAAATAGCAACAATTGGTTACTTCAATATCCTTAGATTTGTTATACTATGTTAGTCTTGGTACTGATTGATAGTGGTAGAGTCCTATTGCAGATTGGACTGCCAGAGGATCATGGCACTCTTGTTCCTGAGCACATTTTACTTGGCATTTCTCTTGAAAGGGGGAACAGCACATTCTGATATACTCAGTGATCTTAAAAGAAGTAAATGTCTTTAGAAGAAAAATAAGTGCAGTCCAAGCAAAGCCCAAGTTCGATCAAATGTGTTGATAGCTGTCTAAAATGCCCAGCACCTTTTCAGTGTAAATCTTGTCAAAATAGTTCCTGTGTGTCTGTGCATCTCTGCCAGGTGCTTAATTTTCCACTTAAACGTAAGAATGATATTAAGACAACCGTGTTAATTATTACCCACCCGGTCTGAAAAGCGCCACCGCTTTCAAGCAGGCAAACTCGGTGAAGTCCACGTCTAGCGCCCTCAGCCGTGCTACCACTTCCTGCATGTAGCGTATCTGGGAGGTCAAACGCGAGAGTTCCTCCCCCGGTGTCTTTTTATCGGCTCTTGGCAGGTGTTTGAGGAGGGTCTCTGTCTCCAGCGGGACGGACCACTGGCAGACACCGAGGAGGAAAAGATCCCTCCAGCCTTCCTCCAGGAGCAACACCTGCAGGCCAAAGATAAATGGCAAGAATTGTCAATTTGAATCACTGCTCTGTGCTCGGGGGTTGACGGCAAGAGATCTTGGCTTTACAAGATAATGTCACCAGCCTATCGGGTTTATTATCTAAGACTGGATCTAGGATTAATTTTTCTGAGTAAGATGACTCGGATCGAATGTTGTACACCTTACAATAAGCTCGCAGAATTTGATTTCTAATGTTTTTTCCCGTGTTTCTCAGCAGCAATGATTTTTTTAGAACTTTTTCTGAAACGTGTCATTACAACCTTGTGCGCAGTGCTAGAATCAGAAATTACAATCCTTCCAAGTTCCTTCGCCTACTCGAGGTGAAAAAATGAAAACACCCGTAGTGATGGTATTTCCTCCGACAAAGTGGCACTCCTAGAAGTGCAGGTAACATGTACGTGGTGGAAAATAGGCCAAGTTGGCAAGTAAGCCGACCAGTTGGACGAATTCAAGCATAATTTTTCCCCACGAGCTCGTGGCACGGCGCGCTTACACCCGTCAACTTGAAGTTGTTTCTCGCTAGAGGTACTCTAGGCGACAACACGACGGACGTTACTCTTAACATCAGCACGTGCCCACTCCAGGGTGGATCATTAACAGACAAAAAGGGCGGGAGACGTGAAGTACCCGCAAATGCAATAGGCCACACAAACACACACCAACCACTAAAATGGGAAGCATTGTTTGCGTGTCTGTAGCACAGACAAGGCTGTGCTGACTTTTCTTCCAACTCTGCGCGCGTGTGTGCGCTTCTGACATCCATGGCGTTGGAGTGAACGAGAGCTAAACCCCCTGAATTCCAGACTTGGCCTCTCCACGCTGTTGTGTCTTTAATTCTCCAGTCATTTATAACTGCCTCAAGTTGACAGTTTCAGACGTTTATACCGTCAGTTGGTTTCATGGACACGCGCTCCGTTTTTGCCTTCCTTTCTCTGTGTTTTTTTTAGCCTATGACAGCCGAGCTACTTGTGCGGACTGAACAAGGTTCGAAGTTTAGCTTGGCAACAATTTGTTTTGTTAGTAATTGTCTACGGAGGCGGGCTCCAGACACTAAGTTGGAATTGTGGAGCAGCGGGGTCATTTTACTTTTTGGCACACGCTTGCATTTTGTTTCACTAATCCTAGTTACAGTTTGGTAAAATGTGTGGATTTGTGGACAGTAGACGATAAATTAAAACAATTAATTAATAAACCAATAAATTTCCCCTTTTTTGACCTCACAAGAGTTTATTAGTTCTTATGTTGCCAGAGAGCATTTGTTGAAGATTTTCCTTTACTGTGACGTATTGATGGTGTTTTATCTTTTCCCTGTATAAGCTCGTTAAACCATGTACTGACTGCTTACTTTCGTTTCAAAGACATTTTGGAGTTTTAAATTCCACTTGATGGTATCATGACGTCATTATGACGTCATCATGTGACACCAATACATGGTATACTCAACAGCCGGGATTAATCTTTCATCAATCAAAAAGGGGGTTGGCAAATGAAGCGAGTTTTTGGACCATAAAAACGATTGATGCAAAGGCGGAATGTGTTTAATATGCTATACAGACAAGGTGGTTGTACTTTCAGTGACGTTATTTTGTTATGTTCCACATTCTAAAGTACATACCTGGTCGCGATATGGCAGCAGCCGGTAGCATGGGATATTCTTTGTCCACTTGACGGAGGTAAACAGGAGACGTGCCGCCACTTCGGGCATACTCTCTGGGCTGCCTGCCACGGGGAACACGGAGGAATGTTAGAGTGTTAGCTTGTTGCAAAATTGATCATCCCCATAAAACAGAGAGACTGTAGAGGTGGCAGGATGTCTTGGTAGTGGAGAAGGGGGATTGTGGTACGTTGAGGGCTCGTATGAGGGAAAGGAGGTCCGTCGTTGGTGGGAAGTTGGTGCTACTTATAATCGTGAATATGTTTGTGGTGAGGTTGTGGTCGGTAATTTACAATAGACCTACGGTATTGATTGTTTGGCTTGCAGTTGGATGTATCTTGTTAGTTTTCCATAGATGGTCGAAACTGTGAGTGACTTGTCTTCCCCGTCACTAGCGTGTCCTTTGTCCGTCAATGAGGTAGTGGTTTGGTCGTCATTGTCCAAGTCTGTAGTCTATTGTCGGTTATTTGACTGGACTTGTTTTTTAATCAGAATTACCTGCCATTGCTGTGTGGAATCCAACATGTGGGGTCCCTTCCATCTCTGCCTTGACCTTAGCCGCTGATAGGTCCAGAGCCATCGGACTCACATTGTACTGCTCAGCAGTCAACAGACTATGATAGAAAGTCCCATAGTACATGGAACTAGACACGTAGGAGACTACAGCCACTGGTGTGTTGGTGGTGGTAGTCGCGATGCCGTGGTGATGATGATGAACGCGTGGCCCGCCGTGAATCTGACCGAGGACTGGCGGGGGATCAGGGCTTGCAGACCCGGTGCTTCCATCGTCTGCCAAGGAAGGCTTGGGCTTGGGTTTGCGTGGCCCGCGCTCGTGTTGCACAGCTAGGTATTGGAGGGAAAGGACATCCAAATTGAATGGCATTAACACTGGCAAAGTGAACAAATAATACAGCGTGAGAAAGTTTTCTTCGGGTATAATAATAGTCGGGAATGGTAGCACTTCTTAAAACCCCTCGGTTTCAGATGTACGATTTGATTGTTATGTTGTACGGTTGTTTGCCTGTAGTTAGTTCATTCGTTAAATTATTTTTCTCTACCCTTCTGAATTCCTTTGTGTTCATATCTTTGAGCTTAACTACAGGCTGTGTCTACAGACAAAATAGCTGGGGGGGGGTTCTGTCCACAACCCGCACGACAAGGCCAAATCAAAGCTTGTCTGTCATGTAACGCTGTTCTGCCTTTCACTGTGACAAGGAAATCGATTTTTTTTCAAAGGGACAATAAACCCACCCATTTGGTAAGGATGTCCTCCACCAGACTTTGTAACAACAAATCTCAAAAGTCTCAGTTTGTCAGCCAAGTTATTTTTGGGGCTAGCGTAACCGATGAAGCTGTTTGGGCCGACTTGACGCCGATTTGAGCGAAAACAATGCCAGACACGTGCCGAGTGTTTATTCATCTGTTCCTGGCCATGGCCCTGCCAGGGTCCGCTCAGGTACCGGAATGCTTGTTGACCACGTTCAAGAGTGCGCCTGGGACTGTGGGAATTTGGCTGGTTAGACTAAAACATGCTTGTGTTGTTGTGATTGACGTCTGGCGAGGAAAATTCAACTCACCCTGAACTGCCCCGGGAAAAAAAATACGCGCCAATATCATAAAGGCTCGCGATTTTAGCCAATCTTAATATGGAGAGATTCAATTCAATTCAGTTTATCCTTCATATTTATAAAATATAAACTTTAACTTGCAGGTCACAAGCATATACAGTGTTCAACCATTTCAATACATTCATTAGTTAAACGTTTATTAGAACGCAGACACAACGTCAAAGTTCACATTTACACCTTATAAAACGTAGGTTACATGTGCATTCATCTTGGTAATCAGAATACGATTGGTTGGCTCGTTACGGCTCGGTTATGCTCGGCTACTCTCGATTGTCTTTGGCATGCTTAGGCTCGCTTGGTTGTGCTTGATTGCAGAAAACGGTTGGTTGGCTCGTTACGGCTCGGTTA